TTTGTGTTTTGGGGGGGGGGGGGGGGGGGGGGGAGGGGGTACCTAATTTGAGAGTTGACATGTAAAATATAAGTACCAAAACCAGATTTTGATGCAAAAGGAAAAATACACTTTTCCAATCTTCTACGAAAGACAAAAATTCCCAAGTTAACTTCAATTACTTACCACCCCCACAATCCCCTTCTCCCATGTCCTCTACCCTCGCCACCCCTCTTATTTTTCTCTATGATAAACCCAACCCTCATATAATCATCCTCACCTCACCATCCAAATCAAATCTATGGTAGTTACTGTCGCCAACCACCATTCCTCCGCTAAACATTATTATAGCAATCCCACCCATTAATCTAGTCCTTGAACTAAGTGACTATATTTTGAGTTTTGAAACGGTTTTCATACTACTGTTCTCATTGCTATCTTGCTCTGGAAAATTTCCATATATTTCATACCTTTGGATGATATCACACTAACAAAGTAAAGTCCAAGGAATTAAATCGGTGTGGTTAGATAGTTGACTTGCATATGGTTTAGGGTAACAGTGGTCAATACTACGAATTTCCAATATTTGGTGTTTTTTGTGGATTTTATGGTGGTGATGTGCTTATGTTCAGGAATGTGTGTGTGCACTGGTGGGGGAAAGGGGGTGGATGAGGATGGGTTTTGGTGGGGTACCTAAAGATCACTAGAGGCTAGAGAACTAAGCAAAATGAAGTAGTTAAAAACTTCCTCAATTCCTTGTCCAGGTGGTCATGGTTCAACTTTTTAGTTTCTTTTTTGATAAGCATAAATTTTGCTCTTTTTTTAAGGCTGAAATATTAAACAACACAAATTCATTTTGATGTATAGTGTTGTGGAACTACTATCCAACCTAATAAATGAACAATAACGTAAAATATTCATACTGGTCAAAGTTCTACACTTGTTTTTATTATGTTTTACAAATAGTATATCCTATTTCCAATTTTATTTTTGTTAAGAGTTCTAAGTTTCTATATTAGAAATAAATTAATTAGTCTAGGATAATATTGTAATTACCTTAACATTGCTCAGTTATAAATAGAGTGCAAGGGAACCTAGCTATTACATACTAATTATTCTCTCTCTCATTCTCTCTTCCTCTTGCCTCTCATTCTTCTTCTTCCTTACAAACCATAATACCATCCTTACAACTATTTATGCATGCAACAGTTAAGAGTTAAAAAGAATTTGGCAAGCATAATAAATGTTTTTATGACGATAAACATTGAGAACATTCTGTTTGGAAGATGCAATTAACAACCAGAAGCAACAATATAGTGTTGATTCTTTGCAATTTTTCAAAAGAAATAAGAAATGTAAAATCTACATCTAGTATATTAAGAAATGTTACGCAGTTATCTATATTGAATCATGCAATCAAAATACACTCTGAAAAATTACAATGGAATATTTCATTTCATTAATAGCATTTTATTATTTATTCTGCATATGTTTCTGTAGAATGTTAGGATATATTAATTAGGGACATAATTGTAATTTGTAGCTTATTATGATTTAATATAAATATAGGTGTGAACGGAGAGTTATGTTAACTCTCATTTTCCAAAACCCTAGGCCTGTTTGGTTTGCATCTCAAAAAACAGTATTCAAAAACTATTTTTTAGAAGAGTTTTAAAAAAGTGTTTTTAAAAATTTTTAGATTACAAAACATGTTTGGTTATATATTTTTGAAAATAGTTTTAGAAAACAAAAATTATAAAATTTGTTTGGACAATAATTCACAATTTTCCCACATTTTCTCAACTCTTTCTCTCTCTCTCTCTTTCACTGTTTATCACCCAACACCCACAATCGAGAACCACCATCAACCCCAACACCCACAACCACCATCAACCCAACAACCAACATCAAGCCAAACCGAGAACCACCCAAACCCACCACCAAGACCACCACCCAACAACCAGAACCACCACCCACAACCACCACCAACCCATACCTAAAACCACCCAATACCCACAACCACCACCACCACCATGCAAACCAAGAACCACCCAACACCCACAACCACCACTAACCCACACCGAGAACCACCCACCACCAAGACCACCACCTAAACCGAGAACCACCCAACACCCCACAACCACCACCAACCCACACCAAGAACCACCCAATACCCACAACCACCACCACCACCACCACCACCACCCAAACCAAGAACCACCACCCAACATCCACAACTACCACCAAAAGATCTGTGCTTTCAGTCGCCGAATCTGTGCTTCCAGTCATCGAATCTATGGGTTGAAGACACAGCCATGGTATCGGCGCAAGAGAGAGAGGTCAGAGAGAGATGAGGGAAAAAGAATGCAAAAAAAAAAAAAAAGCTTTTATATTGATACAATAAGTGCACAGTAAATAGATTTGTGCGTTTTTCGTGTTTTCATAATCTTCAAATAAAACCCAGAAAACAAGTCTGACTTGTTTTCTGTTTTTGTGTTCCAAATCTCATTTTTTTTTGAAAATTTTGAAAACAAAAATGCTAAACAAACAGATTTTTGGTATTTTAAAAATTTTGAGAACAAAAAATTGTTTTGCAGATGCTAACCAAACATGGCCCCTATTTCTCTATTCTCTTTCTTCTCCTTTTTTCTCTCTTGCTTCTTCTCTATTCTAAACCCTAAAATTAAATTTGCAACTTGATATCAGAGCGATCAATCGAAATTTGGAGTTACCAAGACACTCATAAAGGGCTTAGACACTTGTTGGGCCAGAGCTTATCAAATGTGATATGGTCTAGCTCGATTTTTTATCTTGAGTACTATTGTATTTTTTTGGAATTTTTTGAAGCCATCTGGTATTATTTTTTAATTTTTGAATGATTTTCGAATTTTACGGATCATATTTTGAGATATACTATTTGCCAGAGTTTGGGACCAAACTACCTACCCTAAACCTATTTATGGGTGCCGACGGGAGTATACAAGGACTCTGGTGGATTGTCCAATAGTTTTCGATAGTGGAGGTTTCTTGAACTTTGGCTCGACTGGTTCACCACCGGCAAGCCTCTTTGTGTTTACTCCTTTGCTGTCGACACTGGGCTCAGGTGATTGTGTGGAGTTTATGAAGGATTTGGGGTGCTGCAATGGCAAGTTTGCCAATTTTTTGTGCTAGGCTAGCCTTTTTTGTGTTGTTTTTGGTGTTTTGTGCTACAGATGGCTGGTTTTCTCTTGTTTTGTGTTAGGTTAGCTCTGATTGTTGTTCAATTGTTCGTTGCTTATGAGAAAGGTTCCTATTTTGTTGGGTAGATATGTTGGGAGGCTAGTACGGATTCTACGAGTGCTGAGAAAAGTGGATTGTGTCTGTAGGGGCTCTTGAATGTAGGGGTCCTCCTGATAAATCTAGTAAAGTTATATGGGAATAACTATTTGGCCTGATCACGATGATGTCTGTTATCCATGCGGGTAAGTGAATTAAATGGATACTTGATCAAGGTAAGTAAGAAACTCAAATCACATACATAACTCGATGCAGACACACATCAATCGTGGTTTTTGTTTCTTAAGATAGTACTAGCGATTTGGTTATCTGCAACGCAAACTTATTCACAAGTTAGGAATGATGCTCAGATTTATGAACTCCGAAAAAAGATTCATGAAATCAANTAATCTTCAAATAAAACCCAGAAAACAAGTCTGACTTGTTTTCTGTTTTTGTGTTCCAAATCTCATTTTTTTTTGAAAATTTTGAAAACAAAAATGCTAAACAAACAGATTTTTGGTATTTTAAAAATTTTGAGAACAAAAAATTGTTTTGCAGATGCTAACCAAACATGGCCCCTATTTCTCTATTCTCTTTCTTCTCCTTTTTTCTCTCTTGCTTCTTCTCTATTCTAAACCCTAAAATTAAATTTGCAACTTGATATCAGAGCGATCAATCGAAATTTGGAGTTACCAAGACACTCATAAAGGGCTTAGACACTTGTTGGGCCAGAGCTTATCAAATGTGATATGGTCTAGCTCGATTTTTTATCTTGAGTACTATTGTATTTTTTTGGAATTTTTTGAAGCCATCTGGTATTATTTTTTAATTTTTGAATGATTTTCGAATTTTACGGATCATATTTTGAGATATACTATTTGCCAGAGTTTGGGACCAAACTACCTACCCTAAACCTATTTATGGGTGCCGACGGGAGTATACAAGGACTCTGGTGGATTGTCCAATAGTTTTCGATAGTGGAGGTTTCTTGAACTTTGGCTCGACTGGTTCACCACCGGCAAGCCTCTTTGTGTTTACTCCTTTGCTGTCGACACTGGGCTCAGGTGATTGTGTGGAGTTTATGAAGGATTTGGGGTGCTGCAATGGCAAGTTTGCCAATTTTTTGTGCTAGGCTAGCCTTTTTTGTGTTGTTTTTGGTGTTTTGTGCTACAGATGGCTGGTTTTCTCTTGTTTTGTGTTAGGTTAGCTCTGATTGTTGTTCAATTGTTCGTTGCTTATGAGAAAGGTTCCTATTTTGTTGGGTAGATATGTTGGGAGGCTAGTACGGATTCTACGAGTGCTGAGAAAAGTGGATTGTGTCTGTAGGGGCTCTTGAATGTAGGGGTCCTCCTGATAAATCTAGTAAAGTTATATGGGAATAACTATTTGGCCTGATCACGATGATGTCTGTTATCCATGCGGGTAAGTGAATTAAATGGATACTTGATCAAGGTAAGTAAGAAACTCAAATCACATACATAACTCGATGCAGACACACATCAATCGTGGTTTTTGTTTCTTAAGATAGTACTAGCGATTTGGTTATCTGCAACGCAAACTTATTCACAAGTTAGGAATGATGCTCAGATTTATGAACTCCGAAAAAAGATTCATGAAATCAAACAGAAGGATATAATTATTGCAGATTATTATGCAGGACTGAATAGTATGTGGCAAGAACTGGATTATTATCAGGATTTTAAAGTGGATTATGCTGAAGATAACGCTAAGTTTCAGAAATTGGATGAGAAAGAACGAGTATATGATTTTCTTTCAAGTCTCAATATAGAGATATTATCAGAACCATTTACAGGTTTCGGGCGGAGATCCTTTCCTTCTTTTAGGCAAGCATAAGCTTATGTATGGTAGGAGGAGTGTTATGCTTCATAATCCTGCCAATGATCGATCGGCTTTAGAAGTTGTTCCACGAATGTCTTTTCAGCCTAATAGTGAACGAAAAAATGGGAGATGTGTATTCAGGAAAAGATGCTAGAGGATGGATTCCTTCTCTTACCTTCTAATCAATGCTTGAGTCTGGGGAAGAAATCTAGTTTGGGAGAGCATCAGGGAGAAACATCTATTTTTGAGGAAGCAGACTAATTGTGGCAGATTAGACTGAGATTATTTGCAGTGCTATACTCGACGACAAACTAAGCAGATCACCACCCATGAGCCACCAACTCAGTCATCATCTCTTGACTCAGTTCCTGAGATCTCCTCCCCTACATCAGGTAGGGAGCTTCTTTGTAATAATTTTGTTGATGATAGTTCTTTACCTATTGTTATTCAGAAAGGAGTTCGGACTTCTATCCAACATTCTGTTTCTAAATTTGTTCTCTCTGTCTTCCTTCTATCGTATTTTTGTTTCATCTTTATCTTTTATATCTCTTCCTCAAAATTGGAATAAAACCCTTACAAAGCCCAAATAGAAAACAGACATGGTAGAAGAAATGAGAGTTCTTGAACAAAATGTAACCTGGGAACTTGTATATCTTCCGACTGAAAAAAAAATCAATAGGTTATAAATGGGTGTTCACTGTTAAATAAAATGTGGATGGTGCAATGGATAGATACAAGATAAGACTAGTAGCTAAGGAGTTTACTCAAACATATGGCATTGATTATCATGAGACTTTTGCCCCTGTAGCTAAGATGAATTCCATTCAAGTCATTCTTTCTTGTCCTGCCAATCTGGGATGGGATCTACAATAGCTGGACTTAAAGAATACATTTTTTCGTGGAAACTTAGAAGAGGAAGTGTACATGGATATTCTATAGGGGTTCTCTTCACCAGCGACTGAGGTAAAAGTATGTAAGTTAAAGAAATTTCTTACTGGATTAAAGTAGTTTCTAAGAGCTTGGTTCGATAAATTCCATAAGGCAATGGTTAAGTTTGGTTACCAACAAAGTCATATAGATCACACAATATTCATCAACCAAGAGTGTGGTAAGATCTCAGTTCTTATAGTATATGTGATGACATAATACTCACAGGTGACGATGTAGAAGAAGTGGTCAAACTGAAAGTTCACCTTACAAAAGAATTTGAGATCAAAGACTTGGGGCGTTTACGTTATTTCTTAGGGATTGAAGTGGTCAGATCGAATAAAAAAATTTTCATCTCATAGAAAAAGTATATCCATGATCTTCTGAAGGAAATCGGTATGCTAGGTTGTAGACCTGCAAACTCACCCATTAAGACAAACCACAAACTGAGAAATGATCATATTGATAGAAAAAGATATAAGAGGATTGTTGGGAGACTCATACACCTTTCTCACAGTCGTCCAGACATAGCATATGTAGTGAGTGTTGTTAGTCATCAGTTCATGCATGCTCATCGAGTTCCTCATCAAGAGATAGTCCATCGTATACCGAGGTACCTCAAGCAGTCTCCAGACAAAAGACTATTGTTCTCAAAATAGGATCACCTAAAGTTAAATGCCTTCACAGATGCAAAATGGGCAAGCTCAATTGATGATAGGAGGTCTACTACAGGTTGCTGCACCTTTGAAAGAGAAAATCTAGTAATTTGGCAGAGCATGCACGCAGTGGTGTCTAGATCTAGTGCAGAGACAAAATACAATGATATGGCTCATCGTATTTGTGAGCTTATGTGGCTGAAAACATTAATGGAAGACTTGGGTGTCTCTAATAGTGAACTTATGCGTCAGTATTGTGATAATATGGCTGCCATAAATATTGCTCATAACTCAATCCTACATGATATAACAAAACACATTGAGATTGACGGACACTTCATCAAAGAGAAGCTAAATGATGGGTTAATTTATATACTCTTTGTGGCTATCAAAGAGAAATTAGTCAATGTGTTTCCTAAGGGACTTAGTAGTAGAATTTTTCATTCAAATGTATGCAAGTTGGGCATAAAAAATATCTATACTCCAACTTGAGAGAGAGTGTAGAATGTTAGGATGTTTTAATTAGGGGAATAAATGTAATTTGCAGCCTATTATGAGTTAATATAAATATGGGTGCGAGAGGAGAGTTATGTTAACTCTCATTCTCCAAAACCCTATTTCTCTAACCTCTTCTCTTTTGCCTCTCCTCCATTCTAAACACTAAAACTAAATTGAAGTTGTTTCTTATAAGTTAGAATAGATCATAGCACGTAGAGTGCCAGCGTGTATGCAAGAACAGATACACCAGTAGATTGCCAGAATGTGTGTCACAAGATATTCTCAAATATGTTATTTGAGACATAATGATATAGAGGAGACACATGTCAAACTATAAAAAGCTCATGTTAGGAAGAAAAGTTATTACTACATTCATGTAGGTCATATGGATTGGAAGATTGAACATGTCAATACGTACATGATGATAAATATAGCATAGGCATTCCGGCATAAATCTCAAGTTTGCAGCTTCGCCCCATATGAGAAGATATAGACCCATATACAACAGTTTCCGTTGCTGCACTTCCTGCTGAATGGTTGGCAACCTGCAGGTAAAGAGCAACCACATCATATGACAATAGCATCAAAAAAAAAAAAGTCTTCAGGTAATTCTATGATAACATGTCAGGTTGCCATATAATAAATTGGATATATCACTATTCATTATAAAGACACCAATCACAAGAGGACCATAAACAAATAAACTGGATTTAACGCACCAAAGGCTACTTTTGCGACCAAGGTATTTGCACCATTTTTTGTAGTTTTTGAAGAGTTTCTTCATGACTTCTGTCAGTGCGCAGTCATCCAACTAAGCAGGAGCAATGTACAAGTACATTATTTTGAAAACAATAGGTATTCTGCAAAGAAAAAATTTTGCAAGGCATGATACCTTAGGTTGCTGATCAGGCTTTGGGAACTGTCGAATGTGCACATTTGCAAGCAATAAAATTAGGTGTTCCCTTTGATTTGCCACATTATCTTTCTGCATTAATTATGCGGAAAACATATCAAAACAAGTGAACGCAAGTTAACAAAGTTTCTACTTTATTCTATTTCATTTTTTGCTTGAAGGCGCACCAATAGATTATGTGATCGGCACATATCTAGTAATGACAGCCATAAGATCAGTGATGTTTTGTGGTATCAAATTCTAGTCAATTAAGAAATAACACGCAAAAAAACTTCGTTTCACATAAATGAGGATTTGTGATGATAATGATAGAATCAGAGACTAGCATATTCGTCAAGAAGTGGTTGCAGCTGAAATGGAAGATTAAGCAAGAAAGAATAAAGTCAGGTGGTTTGGACACGTTTACAAAAGACCTAATATTGTGCAAGTGATAAAGCATGACGTGATACCATATCTATAGTAATACAAAGGATAAAGAGAGAGAGAAATTCACACTGAATGAGATAGCAAAAATATGCCACAAAACAAAAGGGCAAAATAGTATTCATGTTGCCTACCCCTAAATAGTTAGTACAAAGCTTAACTATGTTGTGTTGAATTTGAGTTGGAACCAGGTAGGTTACCTGAAAACCAAACATAGCCTGAAGCCAGTCTAGAATGTCTTCATCTACTTTCTTCTTGTGACCCTTTGGCCATGGAAGACCCCTGGTATTACGAAGCGCAGTAACAGAAGCTTGAATCTGCAATTAAACTACGAATGTATGAGAAGAGCATGGCAAAAGTCTATACTTTGTCAATGTAAGAGTACTTGGCAAGAAACTAGAAACCAACCTCAGGGTATCTCATAATTGCCTGATTTGAACTGTCAGGGTCAAGAGGAAGTATATTAAAGGGCACATATATCTCTGTCTTTTCCGCAACCTTAGTGTGAGCTTCCAAAATCTACATATATATACATACAAATATTAACCAAAAAGGAAGAGTAAGTTATGAAATATGATTCTTTGTGCAAAAAAAATTAACTTTGTGAATGTTTTGTCATTTCAGATTTTAAGACCTAATTTGGCCCAAGCTGAACTGAGCAATTCCAGTGGTTTTGAGCCTGCTTATGTAAAAGTCATGTTTGGGGGTTATTGGGAATTATGCAGCCCTTTTGAGGGTTTACATGCAAAAATACTGTAATGGCTTTGTTTAGAAGAAAATCTTTCTCCAACAGTTTTCAGGTCTGCACACTGCCTGCTATTTTCCAAGTTCTGAGAAAAGTACTTGATCCTTGTTACTCAACACCAACTAAAGCAGTCGTTTCTAGTAGGGTTCTTGTTTTACTTTGCTAGTTTGAGATTTCCAGCACTTCATTTTCGGTTAAACAGCTTATTTGCTGCTTTTGTTTGCATCAAGTGTTCTTAGATTTCTGTTTATCCATTTCTTATGAATATGAACCCTCTCTTATTTGCATGAACAAGAAAAAAGATATAAGTGATTTCATCTAACATCCAATCCAAACCATAATCACCATCGGCACATGGAAGTCTTGAAAGGGAAGAGGCTTGTTATTAGCCTTGAAAGACTTCAGTATAACAGTTCCCAGACATAAATTGAAAACATTCAATATCATAACCCAAAAACTGACGTTACCTCATCAGCCACTTCAACAGATTCTGTCAAATTAACAGCTTTCAAAACCTCAAATAGCACCGCAGCAGTCTGATATGCCTTTGTAAGCCGGGCACTGTATTAGGGGGAATGAAAATTTCCTATTAAATATATCATACATCAATAAAGCAAACATTCAACAGCATATAATCTGAATGGGCAACAATGATGCTAGATGATTTACCGATCAGCTTTATCAGAAGCATTCTGCAATGCCTGGATATACTTTCGGTAGTAGTGCTGGTAAAAACTTTGCATTTCACGAGCATCACTTTTTGTACGTCCTGCAACTGTCGATTCATTTTCCTGAAAAAACAATCAAGTAAGGATAATCTTACAAGGGAAGCACTAAATGGAAACTATAGAAAAGAAATGGAACAAGATGTCGTTAACAAATAGACACAATCATAAAAATCTTTTCAAGCAATGCGAGCTATTTTAAGGAAGAAAATGCACAAAAATAAACAGTGTTACAAACAAAGTCAACTATCATATGAAAGTGCAACTGGAGAACAGAATTAGGCAACATGACATTTTTCATATGCCTTGCGGATGTTAAATAGTATTTTTCAAAACAATGAAGTGGATCAGTTGAATAAATGGGGTAAAATATTGCATCCATCTGTAATGTCTAAAATTTTAAAAGCCCATGTCAGAAGTAGTTTGTTTTAATTAAATTTCCACCAAAAAGCTTAAGCTATTATGCCGATTCCTCTAATAAGGGTAATTATACCACTCCATCTCCCAGATAAAAGGTATTTTGTAACTTTGATGGATGACCACAACAGTGGTAGTACTTACTGATGAAATTTAAGTCTTACAAAAATACTCTGTAGACAATTTTTTTGCCCGAATGCAGAGATTATTTCCTTGTTCTGATGATTCCATTCAAGCAAATGAAGGGCCTAGTTATTCAAAAATGATTGTGTTAGATTTTGTGAGAATATTCTAGAATGTGGCATTATTGTCATCTTTCACCGTACCTAATATAATAATACCGGATCAAAATTTTGTTTCGGTGTATAGTTCAGTAAGCTTGGAAACTGCAACGTTTCGATAATGTTTCAAAAATAAGATGGAAACAAAAAAAAAATTTAAAATTTACTTCCAAAACATACCGTCGGAAACATAGGTCAAAAGATGCCAAAACACCTCGAAACCTATTGAACCATACGAATTTTAATATTCAATCAATGATTCGTTTCAGTTTCCATGAAATCGAAAACATTTCGAAGGTTTCAACCATTTCGAAACGAAATTTAGTTCCTCGGCAGAGAGGGAATATATTGCATATTTTCACTGTCTTCTTCCCTCTTCGTCTCTCTCTCACCTTTAAAAACCTAATTATCAACAAGGGGTGCATTCCATCTTGGTATCAAAGTTTCTAATTGAAGTCCAAAAGGCAACAAAATAATCTGGAAATCATCAACAAATGTGAGAGAAGTACTGACAGCAACGTCCGCACGATGATGTCATACTGACCAGCACTTCATCTTTCCTCATAACCATTTGGTTGTTCATTTTCATTTAAGAATGATATTTCAAAAAGGGGGATGTTTCATGGTAAGTTGTTCGGGAGCAATTGGGTTGCTGATTCTGGTTGATATCACTCCCACTCCTACTAGGTTGCTGACCAAAAATTCAAAAACCAAAAAAGAAAAGCAGAATGACAAGTACGTTAGATTTAGGACGTGAAACATTGAGTACCTTTTCTAAGCGCTGAAGAAGGGCAGTTTTAAACTGTCGAACTCCACGTCCACTTGATGTTGGATCCAGTCTGTGTGCTTTCTCAAATGCATAAAACCGACCTGATTCCAGCAAAGGAAATGATATATTTAGAGTACACTTAAGCATTCAAGTTAAGGGGAAAAAAGAACATTGACCTGGGGGTTGTTGGAGGGAGGGAGAACAAGAAAGATAAAATCCGAAAGTCTAGCACAATCTATTATTATAGTTAGTTACTTTACAATAAGCAAGGTAGCTAAAAAGGTTATTAATCAGTAAAATAACTAGAATTAAAAAAGTCATAAAACTTATCAAATTTTAAAAGCTAAGAAAGAAGAGATTGTCCTGACCATTGCCCTATATCAAAGTGATATGCCATACAACTGGGAACTAATGGGCAAAATAACAAATTGCTCTCAAATCCCCCAGACAAATGTAGTGAAATCAAAGAAATAGTAAAATGAATTGAATGATGGGGTATGAGTATAACAATATCACTTTAAAAAAGAAACATTTTTTTTGGTGAGAATTTCAATTCGCCTAGTTACGCCTGACGGTGAAACAATACTAACAGAATACGTTGAAACATATGTCCTACCAAAAATTCGAAAGCACCGACTCTCCCCTTGGCATTATGGCATATATTAAAACTTCACATTCATTTCATACATGTACGAAGAGACTTAATCAACAATCAAAGCATGTCCTGGACACTTATATAGCTATCCCTTTTTAGTGTCAGCCACCCCCTTTTTCATGTTACTTGGCATTTAAACCCAACTTATGATACAAGCTAGCACTAATTGTCAAAGAAAATAATAACCTAAATAATTTTCATACAACCAAATGATTTTGACCAGGTAATAACTGCTTTCTAGTCTATTTGATTAGTGTATACACATTCCACTTGTTCGCATGCTATGAAAATCAAACTTGTCAAGGGGCTTGGAAGATTACAGTAATTAAAGTGGGCACGCCCATGTTGTATGGGCTTGTTAAGTAAAACATGAAATTGGGACTTACATAGGTAAGCAACCCGGGGGTTGCTGCCCTCGACTTCGTTGGCAACACGAAGAATTGGTGCAATTTCAACCAGAGATGATGGTACTACCTCACTATCCATCATAGACTCCCCTAGATTACCAGCGGTCTGAGTCCGCAGAATCCGCCTCTGCGGCTGCTGATCAGACCCCCTTCTTTGGTAAGCCATTTTCCTATCAAATCCTCTGCAAAGGAACTAAAAGTCCCTGTAATTCACCTGTGAAAAATCATTGAAATCATAAGAAACCCACATCACTAAATATATAAACCTCTTGCAGAAGACTTCAACTTCACTCATCCCAATAACAAAAATCCCCTTTTGGTTCCCGGGGAAAAAAAAAACGAATTACTATAGAAAAAGATAGTATCTTTCTATATGTTTGAAGTTTTCTTTTCCCATCTTTTCTTACCAGCCAGAACTCAAACCAGTAAAAGCCTTAAATCGTTTTTCATCAAAAAAACAATCGAATTCACCGAAGGGAAAAAAAAAAGAAAAAGAAACCCTCGGTTTCATTCCTCAATGAGAAAGAAGAATTACAGTCAAACACAAACATATATACATGCTCCAAGTAAAACCCCAAAAACTAACCTCCTAAACTTCTTTCCAAGCGAAGAACATCCCAATTTCACTGAACAAAATAGCCAATTTCAACATGTTTCAAGTTTTCTTTCTCTCTCTTTTCTCAGCAATCCAATAGATCAGAACAGAAAGAGTTCACATGAATTTAAGTTTGGAAAGAAAAACAGAATACATGGAATTACCAGATGAGTGATCAGACAATCAATGTTTCAGACTGGAGTGACTTTTCGTCGTACCCAGCAACCAATTTTTCACTACCTCAGAGCACCAATAGAAGATAGAGAGAAACTTCGACACGTTTACTTCATATAGTCAATCATATACACACACACACGTGTGTGTGTGTGTGGGTGGGGGGGTGAAAGAGAGAGAGAGAGGAATAATCTAGAGAGATAAAGTAAGTAAGAATGAGGAAGGTGATGCCTTAAAAGAGCTACCTAACTGACATGAAAGAAAGAAAGCAACGCGGGCAACACCAGCTATATTTAAAAAAATTTAATAAAAAAAAAAAAGTAGTTAAAATTACGAAAATGCCCCTACATTTTCACTTAAAGTTAGCCTTTTTTTTTAAGCAAGGGGATTAGTCTGTAATTTCGACACAAAATTGCTTTTAGGGAAAGAGAATATCTTATCTTTAACGGTAAAAGAAAATATTCAACGTGAATGTGTAATTAATAAAGAACCACTTTTGTCCTGTAAAATAACAGGCAAACAATACATTGCAAGTATATATTTGAATCAACGGTGGGTTCCAATATTTTTTATCACCATAACTATTTTAATAGTCATAGATTAAATTAACAAATTAATTTAATAAATTAAGTTTAAATAATATTTACTCAAAAATTATTTACCCAAAAAATCAAATATTTATTTTAGTTTGACCACATAGATTGACCAAGATTTGCCTATAAAACCGAAGATTTTGAGTTCTAAGTTTTTCAATTGAATCCCTCTTAAAGATTTATCTTAGTAATTACTTGATACCATACGATATAAATGGAATATACTTATATGAAAAGATTAGTTGGATATTTTAAGAGACTAATTCACATACCTCTTAATTAATAAAAAAAATTATTCAAAAATAACGACTTCTAACTTTTTGACAAAAAAGTAATAGAGGAATTATAATTGATGGGGGACATAATTGGGGTACTTATTATTTTTTGCAAAATTTCAATATGTGAGACATCTAAATGTCTACCACTTCAAAACTTATGATCCAAATCATCATTTAAGGCTCCTATAATAATTATAGATAATATCAAACTAACAAAAAAAATATATGAAAAATAACTGGAATCAAATGATGGGATTTTACAGTAATATTTTTTTTTTATTTTAATTTTACTCGTTTACAATTGAAGGTTTATTTATCATGTATGTTGTCACATTATTTTGTCCTTATGTTTAGTCTTTTATTTTTTATTTTTTAATTAGGGTAATGTTATCCTTTAATCTATTATGATTTTATATACCAATTACAAATGAGGTGCATCACTTGCAAGATTTAAAAATTTTTTTCAACGATCAGTGATATTCAAGTCAATTACGTGCACCTCGACTAATTTTTTTTTTAATCCAGTTAAAGACAAGACGTCTACACAAGAACTTTGATATTCATAAGAGATAAATTCTTTATGGTCTGACCCTAAAGAGTTATCAAAATTCGAACTCTAAACTTTTAAGTTTACAACTTGATCATGTTATCGGTTAAATTACCCATTGGGATTAAGATTTACTCAACACTTGACCTACTATTATTTTTTCAAAGAATCACTTTCCAAAATTTATTGTCACGAGTTGTCTTCTTTTTTTCTATTTTTCTTTTTCTTTTATCTTTTTCTTTTTTTTTTTTTTTGGGGGGGGGGAACATTTGGAAAATTCGACACGTGATCCACTTGAAGGATTTGCCATTATTGATTCCAAGTTCATGTTGCTACTAATTCAAGCAACAAAAAGAATATGTAAACATCACTACTTGGAATTAATTATCCAACACAGTGAAACCTAGAATCATGACTCATTTTTCTTTCAACAAAATTCGTCATCTACTTGATTCAACTATTTGTAAAACTTACTGTTTAACCCCACAAGGATTCATATAATATCAATTCAATAAATGAAAAAAAAATTAAAAGTATAATTTTATTTAAAAATGGTTCATGCCATTTTTGGATTTCGTGTCAAAAAATATTAAATTATAACTCTCATTTTGTGTTAGTTTTGAATCGTATTTAACGGTTTATAAATATTCTAACGGTCTATATAAAATGTAAAAAGTTATATAAATAAATAAATATATATATACTCACACACTAGCGTCCAACTGCTTGTTATACACGGGCCGATCCCTTATCCTCCTTTTTTTATATATATATTTTTTTGGGGGGAAGGGGTTTGAACCCTTGATCTCAAGAAAGTAAAATTTTTTATAAGGTAAGGAATATCATTGGACTAAAGACTCATTAGTTAAAACCAAAAACCTTCATAAGACAAGAAATATCATTATCCCTCTCAATTCCCATTCTTCGAGTAAATAATGAATGTAATGGTGATATCATTTCACCATTGATGACATAGCATTACCAACAAATAATAAAATTTCAAATGGGTAAGATGAACCCTATTTGAACTTACATGGAGAAAGAGTAGAGAGTTATTTGTTTGAGCAGTGTTATTGAGACATAATTATTTAACCTAATTCACTGTGACATTTGGATTGATTGTAGGCCCATCAAACATTGGAATTTGGTGTTGATACAATGATTCATATGAAATCACATCATTATATCAGCAAATTAGGTCAAATTTATAGGTACAAATAGCATTACTTTATTTGTTTACATGACAGATTAATTATTAATTTTTGTGGAGTCTAATTATTTATTTATTTTAATATTATTAATTGGTGATACCACATCACATTGTCATATGATATTACCGTTGTAATGAATATTTTCACCTTTTACTTTTTTCCACTCATTCCCTAAAAAATTGGTCGTTATATATATATAGAAGTATTGATATATATTATTGTTGTTGGGGGTGTGTGGGTGTATGTGTGAGTAAGAGAAAGAGAGAGAGAGGTGACTAATGAGACAAAGCAATTGGACCAAGTGGAAGTGTGACTAGGATAAATATGGAGAGAGAGAGAGGTGACTAAGGAGACAAAGCAATTGGACCAAGTGGAAGTGTGACTAGCATAAATATGGAATTACAGATAAAGATCACCAAAATTGACTCTAAAACTAAAAGACTAGTGAGGCCAGGTAATTTTTGCCTCATTGCCACACTAAGCCCTATAAACTGAGGATAGAATTGAAGCTTGGAAAGGCATGAATTATTGAACAAAAAGCAAGGAATATGAAAAAATCATGAAAGTGAGGTTTATGCTTTTAATTGGGTATTGTGCTTCCAGCTAAGTGCTTTTAACTAAATTTATCACATATTTGACTTTATTCCTTCTGAATGAGACCAAAATATNAGAAAGTAAAAATTTTTATAAGGTAAGGAATATCATTGGACTAAAGACTCATTAGTTAAAACCAAAAACCTTCATAAGACAAGAAATATCATTATCCCTCTCAATTCCCATTCTTCGAGTAAATAATGAATGTAATGGTGATATCATTTCACCATTGATGACATAGCATTACCAACAAATAATAAAATTTCAAATGGGTAAGATGAACCCTATTTGAACTTACATGGAGAAAGAGTAGAGAGTTATTTGTTTGAGCAGTGTTATTGAGACATAATTATTTAACCTAATTCACTGTGACATTTGGATTGATTGTAGGCCCATCAAACATTGGAATTTGGTGTTGATACAATGATTCATATGAAATCACATCATTATATCAGCAAATTAGGTCAAATTTATAGGTACAAATAGCATTACTTTATTTGTTTACATGACAGATTAATTATTAATTTTTGTGGAGTCTAATTATTTATTTATTTTAATATTATTAATTGGTGATACCACATCACATTGTCATATGATATTACCGTTGTAATGAATATTTTCACCTTTTACTTTTTTCCACTCATTCCCTAAAAAATTGGTCGTTATATATATATAGAAGTATTGATATATATTATTGTTGTTGGGGGTGTGTGGGTGTATGTGTGAGTAAGAGAAAGAGAGAGAGAGGTGACTAATGAGACAAAGCAATTGGACCAAGTGGAAGTGTGACTAGGATAAATATGGAGAGAGAGAGAGGTGACTAAGGAGACAAAGCAATTGGACCAAGTGGAAGTGTGACTAGCATAAATATGGAATTACAGATAAAGATCACCAAAATTGACTCTAAAACTAAAAGACAATTGATAAACTGTGACTAGTGAGGCCAGGTAATTTTTGCCTCATTGCCACACTAAGCCCTATAAACTGAGGATAGAATTGAAGCTTGGAAAGGCATGAATTATTGAACAAAAAGCAAGGAATATGAAAAAATCATGAAAGTGAGGTTTATGCTTTTAATTGGGTATTGTGCTTCCAGCTAAGTGCTTTTAACTAAATTTATCACATATTTGACTTTATTCCTTCTGAATGAGACCAAAATATGGTTAAAGGTGTTTAACCCAGTTTATGCATATCTCAATTAATTTTTTTTTTGGTCAAAAATAAATCATCCACACTAGAATTAAGGTATTAATGAAAGGTAATTTTTTCATGACATGAACCTAAGAGATAGTAAAGATTCGAACTCATGAAGTCTAAATTTACAGTTCGTCCCTATTATTACTTGTTCAACGGTTAAGAGTGTTCGAATCAGTTTATGCACATCTCGACTAATTTTTTCTCTACTCCGAAAAAATGCAAACAATCTATGCTGGAAATAAGGTATTAATGAGGGATAAAAGAGATTACTAAAATTCGAACTCGTAACGTCTACATTTATATTTCATCTCTGTTACTACTTGAAACACCTTTAGAGTTAATTTTTTTTCTTTGCAATGAAAGATGAGGTGTGAAAGAGACATTTAAGCTAATATCCTTATCAAGTTTGATTACATTAGAACCACTAAGCATTTATAGATTCAACAGTTCTTACCATGATTAGTCAATTTGATACAAAATTGACTC